TCAAATTTTTAAAAAATTTATATTTTTCAAAAGATCTCATGATTTTGGGGGCCTGTTTGTTCTTGGCACTATTGCTAGAGTATATGACAGTGGGGCCCTCCCTGGAGGAGCTAATGCATATCTGCCAAGTTCTGTGAAGCAACATGTGTAATGTTTAATGCAAATTATTTACAAATCAGCTCATTAAATAGAACAGCAAAATAGAGGCTGCTTAGTTGCCATCTCAAGTACAGTTCAGCTAAAGATGTGACATTTCTGTTCTCCACTGGGCCATGGGAATATGGACAGCTGCTAGTGTGTGAGAGTGTGGGGGCCCTAGCAAGAGGATGGCCAGAGTGTGTGTGTGGAGGGTCTCTAGTGAAGGTGGTGGGCTACTTTGTGAAGGAAGGGAAGCTTGTACACCTATAGGGCACTGGCTAGGGTTGCCTGGTGTCCGGTTTTCGAAAAGGGACCCTGTCGGCTCCGATCAGCACCGCCGACCGGGCTGTTAAAAGTCCGGTAGGCGGTGCTGCGGGGCTAAGGCAGGCTAGTCCCTACCTGTCCTGCCTCTCCGCTGCACCCCAGAAGCAGCCAGCAGCAGCATGTCTGGCTCCTAGGCAGGGATGGGGTGCCACGGGGCTCTGTGCGCTGTCCCTGCGCTGAGCACTGGCTCCACACTCCCATTGGCTGGGAACCACGGCCAATGGGAGCCGGTGGGCGGTGCCTGCAGGTAAGAGCGGTGCACAGAGCCTCCTGCCCCCCCCTCAAACCTAGGAGCCAGACCTGGTGCTGGCTGCTTCCAGGGCACAGCGCGGTGCCAGGACAGGCAGGGAGCCTGCCTTAGCCCTGCTGTACCGCTGACCAGGAGCCGCCCGAGGTAACCCTGTACCCCAACCCCCTGCCTCAGCCCTGAGCCCCCCACAAACTCAGAGCCCCCTCCTGCAACGCAAACCCCTCATTCCTGGCCCCACCCCAGAGCCTGCAGCCAGAGCCCTCACCCCTCCTGCACCCCAACTCCCTGCATCAGCCCGGAGCCCCCTCCCATACCCTGAACCCCTCCTTTCTGGCCCCCCCCTGGAGCCTGCATCCCCAGTTACAGCCCTCACCCCTTCCTGCACCCCAACCCCCTCCCCCAGCCCAGTGAAAGAGAGTGAGGTGGGGGAGAGCGAGCCACTGAGGGAGGGGGAATGTAGTGAGCAGGTAGTGGGGCCTTGGGGAAGGAGTGGGGCTAGGGTGTTTGGTTTTGTGCAGTTAGAAAGTTGGCAACCCTAGCACTGGCGAGAGAGTGGCTAGTGTTTGTGGATGGGCTCTAGTGAGGGGTGAGATTAGTGACTGTGTGTGGAGGCTCTAGTGGGGGGAGTTGGTGTGTGAAGCAGTACCAGGAGTGTATACAGACTAGTATGTGGGGAAATAATGGGGACTTCTGTGGGTGTGATGGGGCAGAGAGGCCTCACACTGGCAATGAGAGGATTAAGGAGGCTGACGGGCTCTCCATTGGCAATGAAAAGGTTAGGGAAAGCCTGTGGACCCAGCTGTCCCGCTACACCCACAGCCATTGGTGGATGTGGAGAGAACAGCTAAAAGGAGGAGAGCTAGCCTAGTTTGGGCCTGACCAAGGAGGAGTCCAGAGCTCTGCCTTTGTAGGTGGGAGAGAAGCCTGGTTTCAGCCCTGAAATGGAGCTCGCTTGCCAGCTGGATCAGCTCTCGTAGCAGGGACAACCAGACACCCCTGTGGGGGACTTGGCAGGAGCACAGATAGGTTGAGAGACCAGCCAAGAATGGAAGGGTGAGGCCCTACAGAAGATTTGTGGATAACCCTGTTTTTGTTTTGTTCCCGATTACCTTTGAGCCTCAGTGCCCTGAAAGGAGTAGGACCAAAGGGTACTCTGGCCTGAGGGCCAAAACACCACTACACTGGACCTCTGAGAGATAGACATACTAGTGGAGAGCTGCAGCGGGGTGAGTTGTGCCCTGAAGAACCACTGGGATTTGCCACCCTGGCAACATGGTTACAGGATGTCACTAGTATATGTGGAGGCAACTAATGTGTGAAGGGGCAGGGAAAGAAGATGGTGGACTGGGAAATTGAGAGGCATGTTTAGAAAAGAGGGATGTGGAACAGAGGGAAATAAGTGAGCCCAAAACAGTGAAGAAAATCTCTTGGAGGAAGATGTATAGTTAAATTGGCAAAACTCTCCTAATATGGGCCTAAAAGAGACTGAAGAAGCATCTAGTTATGGAGGAAAATGTGAATGATGGGGGGTGGAAGTAAAGCCACTTAGAATTAATAAATTGCTAATTTTATTTGATAAAACATTTGTTTTAATATTTGAAATCTATGGTACCAACTCTGTTTACATTAAAATACACAGAAAAAAGAGCTGGGCTTTAAACAGTCAGGTGATACTCTCTCCACTCAGAACTTCATGGTTTGCTGGGTAGTTTTATTTTTGAATGTACAGCTATGTGAGCAGTGCAATCCCTCGATGTGACCCAGAAGGTCCCATAGGAAAAGCGAGGCATTGCTGGGCAGATTTCAGGTAATAAGGTCATCAAATGTTAACTGGACCAGAGGGTCATTATAGGCCAGATTTTCAAAAGAACTCAGGGCCAGATTTTCAAATTCTTAGCACCCAGAATTGGGGCTAGATTTTTCCAAAAGAGCTTGGCTCCTATTTAGGGATCTCATTAATGGCTAGATTCTAAGAAATTACTCATCACCCAACATACTGAAATCTTACTGATCCCAGCTGCAGGGTCTGAGCCTGTCTGAAAATTTCAGCCTTTGTGAAAGAAGCATTACAGTTCTTAGAGTACTGCAACTTGCCAAACCATCCAGAGAACGTGATTTTCCCCAGCTAGTTCTGTAATTCAGCCCCTTTCTTTTGACTACTGCTGCTGTGGTTTTTGATGCAAAATATGATGCAGTGCCTCATCTGCCAGCTATTTGTTTGCCTTTCTGTGCAGGGAGAATGACAACCACTTACTGACTCCCTGTAGCCTCAGACCTAGTAGCCTGCCCTGACCTCCTGGTTCCCCATTCTCCCCGATAGACCTTCACTCAACTCCCTCAAACCCAAGGACTCTGTTTTCCTCCCTTGTATCTTTTTTTTGGGGGGGGGGGGGGGGGGAAGCAGGAGATATGATAAAAGGGGGAAGAAAGAGAAAAAGAAACAAGATGACAAGTCACCACAACAATAGCTGGAAATCAAGCAGGGATTTCAGCTATGCTCTGAACACAAACATGGACTTTGGTTATCTCTTCTCATGAATAGCAGAGCCAGGGAGGGAAGAGCCTACCCAGATTAAAACTGTACCTTCATATTAATTCCACCCATCTGTGTTCTGTCCCAGTACTTTCTCCAGAAATTGAAATTAGAGGGGGTGTTTGAATTTTGGAAAGGGTTGGAAAATGACTAAATTGGCAACTAGGGTGGCCAACTTTCTAATGTCTGAAAACCAGCCCCACACCGTCCCCCAGGCCTCATCGCTCACTGCTCTCCCCCCTCAACTCCAGCGTGAGCAGCCCCAAGGGACTTGCAAACCCCAGCTTCAGCAGGCTGCCTGGGAGTGCAGGTCAGAAGAGCACTGCGGCCGCATGGGAGCAACCAGGCCACCCTGCTTGTGAACTAGGATGCAGCCCTCCTGCCTCCCTGTGCATTGCTGCCCAGCAACCCCCATCCCCACCCGCGCGGGCCCTCCCCGCCCTGGAGCTGCCTGAGAGTGTGGGCTGGGGAAACACTGGCTGGTGGAGCAGTTTGTGTTCCTCCCTAAGGGGAGCTCCTTACCCCCTTGCCATGCCCCTCCTCCCCCCGCACTCTGTCCTCCACTGCAGCCCTGCAAACCATGCTCCTCAAAGGGGCAGCCCAAGCTGGTTCATGTATGCTGCCATGGTAACTGCCACTTCAGGGCCGGGCGACAGGCTGCCACTCTCCCCTGAGCTGCCTGCAGCAACTGGATTTTTAGTGTCCAGTCAGTACATGTGACTGGACACTGCCAGGAATTGCTGCATCGCCTGTTTCTGCCTAGTGTCCTCCTGTAATTTTCGTGCTCTTTTTCAGGATACTTGCAATTGGGTACAGGGCAGGGGCACAGGGAACAGAGTTTGTGCTTTTCAGATTTCAAGTAAATCCATGTCTTCTAATTTGGCATGTCTTAATTGTGTCACTTGAGCCATTCACCAGTCAGGGAGCCCATGTCAGACTTTGCTCTAGTCAGTCTGAGCCCACTGCTGGCTAACCCCCAATCAGTCACAGATTCAGTCTTGTATAGTGCTCCGCACACCATTTCATACTAATCTCTACTCTGAATTTGCTTTCTAGCATTAAAAACATTGTCCTGACCTCTTAATTAGAAATGTATTGATACCATTAAGATTAGAAGTGTATTTGTACCAGCTGTTAACTTTATACCAGCTAACAGTTCTCCCCCTTCTGTTTAGCATGTCCCTCTTTCCTTAAACAGAGACCTCTTTCCCTATCAGCTTCCCAGAGACAGTCCCCCAGAACGTCACTCAAGTTCCAAGAAGTTTGCTCTGAAGCTGGGGAGGTCCGGGGGAATGAAGATACAGCTGCCTTGGGGGAAACTGCATGGCACTTCTGCTTCCTCAGACCAGCGGGAGGGGTGGGGTGAGCAGGGGAGCTGCCTGTACCTCACTTGGGATTTTCTGGGGCCAGGAGAGAAGTGTGGTGTATTTCACTTCCCCTCCCTCAGGCAGCATGTGGCAGTGACGTGGAGGGTGCAGAAGGTCCCTGCCATTTCCTCCCTCGGGCTGCGGGGCAGAGTGGGTGAGATTGGGAAATTACATGTCATTTCCCCAAGCAGGGGTTGGAGGGAGTCGGTGCTGCATGTCCCTCCTCTAGGCAGAAACAGATTAACAGGGTGGGGTTCCTGCATTTCCCTTCCTTAGGCGGGGGCTGGCGAGACATGTCCCTCCCCCTTGTTCAGAAAGCAGTTGCTGTTAGTGGAGGTGGGGGTTTGCATGTCCCTCCCCCCTCATCAATCCAGGAGGAGTCAGAGTGGCTGTGGTGGTCCGGGAAACAGCTGCATATCCAGGATCGCCCTCTCCCTGAAAAGTGTGGTATTCTTGCATCGACTGAGTCCATAGGAAAGTGTTTGCCAGGAGCTGTTACTCTGCAGAAATGCTGTGTGTGCAGATCCAACTCCTGGTTTGTTCCATGCTGCTAGTTTGCTGCAGTTTGGCTGAAGACGATGCAGCTTTGAGTCAAGACCAAGTGCCCTACTTTTTGAGTAAGTGAAGCAATGAGCCACCCATGTTGAGCAACTAGTGCGAAAGGCAGCTGCTTTGAACAGCCCTGGGCTTAATGTTGTTGCTTTTTCCTTTTCCTCCTCCTGTTCTATCCTGCAGTTTTCCTTTTCCTTTTTGTTTTCCTCCTGTTCTGTCCTGCAGTTGTAGACTGCACTCAGCCTGTTTGGGGGATGTGTTCACACTGACAGCATGTTTACATGTGCAGCTCTTTGGCAGCAGCATGGGACTCTGGCTTTTGTTTGGGAAGTGAACATAATCACCAGGTTACACTAGGAAATGCTCTCCGTTTTTCAAACCAGATCCCTCTCCTCTTCTGGTGAGTCCTCTCTGCTTCTTCCTTCCTGTTCTGGAGAAAAGTTTCACCACCCCCACTGCCACCGTGCCAGCTTCCCCCATGTCCTCTATACTCTGTCCTAGGGGAGGATAGTGGTGCTGTCCCCATTCCCCTGAGGAAAGCCCACTCTCCTCAGGGCTCTGTTCTGAACTTTAGGGAGGGGAGTGAAGATGTTCCTTTCCCCACCCCAGCAATTATATGTTTGGTGAGAAGCATAAGGATTCCTCCATGCTAGTTTCTCCTACCTGCCAGAAGGCAGAGGGGTGAAGATCTGCTCTTCTTTCCTCTGCTTTTGGGGAGGGGAATGCACATCTCTATTTACCCTTCTGATAGCTTCCCGGCCTCTCTTCTCTGTCTTTGGGCATGTCTTTACTGCAGAGTTAAGTGTTCGGGTGTTCGCACCAGGGTGAACCTACCTGAGATGTGAGCAGCCACACTACAGAGCCTGACTGGTGTGCGGCATTAGGACTTTGGGGGGCAAATCCGATGGTTCTCTGTGCTGCAGTAAACTGAGCTGCTGTATGATTCTTTCCCAGTGAATTGTGGGAGAACTCCTCTGGCTTTCTGGGCACATAGGGGAATTGTGGGAAGGGAGTAGAGAACTAAGTGATCTAGCCTGGGTCCTCACTGCAGAGTGAGTGTGTTACCAGCCTGAGTGAAAGCCTCACATTCTGGCTACACCTCCAGGATAGGCCAGCTAGTCTGGGTTGAAAGTACCATCACACTGAGATAAAAGTTTTGTGTGTGGACAGGAAGGGAGTTAGAGACAACTCCCAAGTAAGAGCCATGGTTAATTCTGCAGTGAAGACGGACCCTTGGTGGGAGGAAAACAAAGATCCCCTCTCCCACCTCAATGGCTGCCTTTTATCCTGGGAGAACAGACTGTAGGCATCCCATCAGGTTTTCACCATTGTTCTCCTTCCCAATGTCTTGTCAGAGGACAGTGAAGTTCTCCCTATTCCGAGCAACTCCCTACTACTCTCCCATCTGCTGCTGCTGAGGGGAGTAAAACACACTCATTACCAGCATGAGAAGTTTCCCACTGCCTTTTGTGGGAAGTGAAGGTGCCCTCTTGCAGTGTTGAACATAGTAAACAGGAACTGAGAGTGCTGACAGTTGTTGGCCTTTTACCCCTTGCAATCTGACTTTTTTTTTTTTTTGGCATAGAATGATGACCTAAGCATATTGTTTTATTCACAGTATGTTTTTCCTGTACTAGGCTTGCCCATCTCCCTATATTGGATAGAGAAAAGCCAGCAATTCTAAAGCGGTTGACATTTATGTTTGAAGGGCATACCAAGTGGGGTCCCACAGGGATCAGTTCTGGGTCCGGTTCTGTTCAATATCTTTATCAATGATTTAGATAATGGCATAGAGAGTACACTTATAAAGTTTGCAGATGATACGAAGCTGGGAGGGGTTGCAAGTTCTTTGGAGGACAGGATTAAAATTCAAAATGAACATGACAAACTGCAGAAATGGTCTGGAGTAAATAGGATGAAATTCAATAAGGACAAATGCAAAGTACTTCACTTAGGACAGAACAATCAGTTGCACACTTACAAAATGGGAAATGACTGCCTAGGAAGGACTACTGCAGACAGAGATCTGGGAGTTAACAGTGTAACTCTGTTGCAAAACAAGCAAACATCATTCTGTTACAAGGATGAGGGAGAAAAATTGTTCTCCTTAACCTTTGAGGATAGGACAAAAAGCAATGAGCTTAAATTGCAACAAGGGCAGTTTAAGTTGGACATTAGGAAAAACTTCCTGTCAGGGTGGTTAAGCACTGAAATAAATTGCCCTAGGGAGGTTGTGGAATATCCATCACTGGAGATTTTTAAGAGTAGGTTAGACAAACTTCTGTCAAGGATGGTCTAGACTCTAGATAATACTTAGTCCTGCCATGAGGCCTCTCAAGGTTTCTTCCAATCCTATGATTGGACTCTTCTCATTGACCTTGCAAACTTGCAGAACCTTTAACTGTTCTTTGTTGTCCATGTTCGCTGAAGGGAACACAAGAAATAATGGGCTTAATCTACAACAAAGGAGATTTAGGTTAGATTTTAGGAAAATCTTTCCAGAGCTTAACTATGGTTATAGTTGAATAGGCTTCCAAGGGAGGTTGTGGAATCCCAATCATTAGAGGTTTTTAAGAACAGGTTGTACAAACACCTATCAGGGATGGTGTAGGTCAGGGGTCGGCAACCGTTCAGAAGTGGTGTGCAAGTCTTCATTTATTCACTCTAATTTAACGTTTCGCGTGCCAGTAATACATTTTAACGTTTTTAGAAGATCTCTTTCTATAAGTCTGTAATATATAAATAAACTATTGTTGTATGTAAATTAAATAAGGTTTTTAAAATGTTTAAGAAGCTTCATTTAAAATTAAATTAAAATGCAGAGCCCCCCGGACTGGTGGCCAGGATCCGGGCAGTGTGAGTGCCACTGAAAATCAGCTCACATGCCGTCTTTGGCACGCATGTTGTAGGTTGCCTACCCCTGGTGTAGGTTTACTTGGTCCTGCCTCAGCGCAGGGGGGATGGACTAGATGACCTCTCGGAGTCCCTTCTAGCTCTACATTTCCATGATTCTATGAATTCTCTATGGCCAAGATTTTGTGACTAATGATTTTGGGTGCCTCATTATTTGGGTGGCCAGCTTGAGCTATATTGAACAGGCCTGATTTTTAGAAAGTGCTGAGCATGTCGCAACCGAGAATAAAAATTACTGATTGCTCTTGATTGCTCGGCCTATGTAGTTAACATTTTATATAACATAAAATAGGTGTCACAATGCTGAATACTTAAACAAAAACAAGAAAGAGTGAGTTCAGAAGTACTAGCCTTAAATAAAAGGGTGGGATTATTTGCATTGGGCTGGGAAGGATTGCTGAGAGATTAATGCATTTTTTTTTTTATGCCACCACCAACTTGGAACAGTCTTCTTGTCTTTGGAGTACCTGTTGTTTTTAATATTTTACATGTAATTTGAAAGATAATTTCAAAGTTCTTTGTAAAAGCTAAGCATGTTTTAATTCAAATGGTCAAAACTAAGGCCCTGGTCCTGCATAACGTATAATAATCTGCAAAAAAGTATCATGAACTGAAACTTCTTTTTTCCCCAGACAAAGGGATGTTTATCATCCAAAGTGAACATCTCAACCTGTGCATTAAAGCAGATACATTTAGACTTGTTCTTGAAGACTGCAATCAACTTTCCAAATATATGTTGTGGAAATGGGTATCGAAACGTCATCTTTTCAACATAGGCAGAAGCACTTGTCTAGGACTGAACATCAGTAATGAAGAGCAACCATTAAGCCTGTTAGAATGTGATTCTGCTCAGCATTCATTATGGTGGAACTGTAAGGGAAAGCTGTTGGTTGGTGCATCACAATACAAACTAGCAGCTGAAAATGGCAAACACGTTGTGGTAAAAAGAATCACTAATCACGAGTGGAAGCAGTACATGTCCTATGATGAAGATCTTTGTGAACGTCCATTTCAAGGTAAAAATAAAACAGTCTCCATCCACATTGCCATTAGAATTTTGTACAGTTTCTCTGAAGCAAAGTGAGACATAACTTATCAATTTCATTATCATTCCTGACCTGATCATGCTGAGTCTTAAAATCAGGGTGTGTGTTTGTTTTTTTTACAGTATTATAAAGCATCACAAGTTGGATCAGGATCCCAATATTACAAGCCCTATGATTTTAAAAATCCTCAGGCAAACTACAAATAATCATCAGATTTGATTTTTAAAAAAGCATGATGTACTTTGAGTCTGGTGTTGACTTTCAAAGTCTTCACAGATCCCATCATTCCCTCCCTTGCCCTCCATTTCAGTGCATGTATTATGTTTCAAGAGGAAAAAGTCAAGCTCAAACACACAATGTGTGTGCACAAATATCAGGAGGGAATTTCTCTAACTTCCCCCTGACATGGACTCCATATTTCCTCTCTTAACCCCTTTGGCCAGCATTCTCTCCTTCTCTGACCCCCTGTTCACCTTTCCTAAGCACTCAGCACTCCCTTCCCCAGTTTCTTTCCTTTCCCTGTGTAAATTGCAGTGTGCCCTCTTCTTGGTAATTCCAGTTGCACCCCGTTGCTCCCTGGCAGGTTCCAGAAGCTCCTTTTTCGTAGCCCAAGCAAGCTGCCACATGTTCCCTTCCCCAACCCCTGAAGGCTCCAGCAGCCTTCATCACCCCTGCAGATTCCAGTGCCCTCCTCCAACCAGCCGTAGACCCTATTCCGTTAACGTTGTTGGGCTTTGAACGAGATTCATAGTGAATAAACTACTCTCCCACCCTTATTGAGACGGACTGCCATCAGCTCTGGGAAACTAAAACTCTGTATGCTGTGCCTGAGCTGTAGACAGAGGGCTTTGATCTCCAGGCTATCAGTCCAGCAACTTTCACAAATATTAGTTTCATGCTAAAAACAATTATGGTGCTTTAAAAATGCCCCTATGCTGAAGGGCAATAGTATGAAGTTAATAAATTATTTAGTGAGGTAAAGCTTCTTTGCAGCTTTCAGATGTACTTAATTTTTTCCATATTTTGTTAATGAAAATATAGTAGGAAAAAATCTAGATTGTTTTGTAAAGGCATTAACCAAAGATATAGTGAATTCAAATAGCATTGGTTACTCTTCCCCAAAGTCAGATTGTTACCATTCACACTGTAAAATATTTTTTTTTCCCTTTGGTAAAATACACTTATTAAAATTCTAGCGTCAAGGAACTATAGAAGAGAGGAATAAACAGGGAAAATTCAAGAACAGTAGAAAACCATAAAATTCTTGGGGTTTGTTTGGCATTGAATATGTACAAAGAAGGATATGATGTTCAAAGCCCTGCTCTTGAAAATGTATCTAAAAGGACTTGTGCATGCAGATCAGGCAAATTGCATGGACATTTCTATGTGCAATTAGTCTCAAATGTAGATTTTGTATGCATAATTACTTTTTGCGTATACATTTTTATAGTAGTAAATCAGGGTCACAGTTTTGAAAAATTGCCTGAAAATCTTAGGTTGACTGGAATTTTTAAAAAATAAACTTCTGCTGATGTAGGGTATGCTGCTGTAGTCTTAATAACAGCATTGCTGTGATATCAAGTTTAAAAAAAAAAAAGTAGAAAAGAAACTAGTATTTGACTGATACAGATTTTTCCATTTCGTTTTATTTTATTTATTGTAGAAACATATACCCTGCTGGGAAATTCTCTTGGTCTCCCTTGTATTTTTCCATTTAAATATAAGAACAAATGGTACTACGAATGCACCAGAGAGAGCAGGGAATTTTACTGGTGTGCCACAACAAGTCAGTATGAACGAGATGAAAAATGGGGGTTTTGCCCAAATGCTGGTATGTACTGCCTTTCTTCTCTGTTTTGTAAATAAAAGTTTGTTTGATGTCATACACTAGTTCAAGGAGAGCAGGTTGTTTTATGAATTGCAAGATCATTGCCATTCTGTTAGTATGGATGTTTCTTCAAAAAATTATAGCCATTACTATAATTCTTTATGCTTATCTCTGAGACCCAGATCCCTAGAGCAAAATATGAATACAAGGGATGTCCACTGACCTCCACTGACTGTACCCTTGCCCTTTTACCAGACCACCCATCCAGATGATCTATGGAGACTTTCTCCACAGCATGCAGGTGGATGATGATTCATTTGGTACAGGGCCTCTACTGTTTTTGACTACAGCACACCTTTTTAAGCTGCTTTTGGTCCCACGCTGCCTTTAACAGGCTCAGTATTTGGCACTCGGTTCTCCCCCCTTCCGGGGGAGCTACAATCCACTGTCCAGCCACTTCTTTCCATGGCAAGTGCAGTCTACTGTTTAGCCACTTCCCCAGTGGCGAGGAGCAGGGTGGGAGGGACCCTATAGATAGCAGCCAATTACTGCATCCCCTGCAACTCCTCTGTGGATCTCCCTGGGCCACTTCCCTGTGGCCCCAGCACCCTCTTTGCCCTGGCCTCAGCCTCCAGCACTGCTATGTCCAGGGTGCTTGCTGCCCTCAGCCTGCAAGGCAGCCAGTCTACCTTCCTCCTCAAGCTCCAGGGAGTGACTCCTCCTGCTTTGCCCTGCAGCCCTTCTTATATGAGCCTGCCAGGCCATGATTGGTTGCTCCCCTCAGACCTTTTCTAATTGGCTGCCTCCGGCACAGCCTCCCTAGGGCTGCTTTTAACTCCCTTTCTGATAGTGTGGAGCAGCTGCCCCATCACAGATAGCAAAAGACACATCATGAGACCCAAGACCACACACTGCTAAATTTCAAGTCCCCACTCCAAAGCATGGGGACACTATAGCGTTTTGAAGGAAAAGGTCTCCAGAATTTCTTAACATTGGTAGATGAACATATTTTCCCCTACCTATGTTCTCGGAAACAGCGGAGCTATTTTGAGCAAATTTCAACCAAAAAAATTCTGCCTGAGACAGACAAGCAAGGTGGAAAATTGCAGCCCAAATAGTTAGAGTTCAGCAAAGTTATAAGCAACTAAAAACAGGGTTTTATAATGGGGAAATGTCAGGAAATCTTAATAAGCAGTACTACCAGCCTTGCCTTCATTAATTGTTCATAATGTGTTCATCCCTTAACAGAGTGTCCTCTTGGACACTGGGTAAGGGGAAATGTAACTGCCTTTCCCCTCCGGCTGTGGGGATCGGGGTTCGCCGTGTTCCTACAAAATTCCCTGTGAGTTAGTTTCACCATTAAGCTTCTAGGAGCTGGTGCAAATTGTCATAGCTCTGACTGCAGTGAAGCTATGACAATTTGCACCAGATGAGGACCTTCCCCCTAATACTCATTAACTTTGTGAAAAGCTGAACAGTTCATTTATACTGGTGAAAATTTTTAAACTTTTAAAATTCACATAGCATCCTATTTCCTTGTGTGCTTTTAACACTAAACATTGAAAATGAGTTCAAACTCATGCTTCAATAGCATTTCCACGTTGTGTTCAACATTAACTAGATTGTTATATTATAGTGTTCTCTGTAATTGTTTTGTTGCATCATGTTGTTTTTAACTGATTTTCACACAGAGCCTGGTAGTGATATTTTTTGGGAGAAGAACCCTGACACCCAAATTTGCTACCAGTTCAATCTTTTTTCTATTCTTTCTTGGAATGAGGCACGTGTTGCCTGTCAGACACAAGGAGGAGATTTGCTGAGTATTACAGACATGGCAGAACAGAAGTATATAAGTGGTGAGTAGATGTGTAGTTACGTTAAAACTTACTTAAATATATATTTTGCTTGTTTAGCTGGGCAGTTCTATTCATTTCAGAAGGGCCAGGATTTCATCCCATGTGTCAAATACTGCTCTTTAGTAGAAATGGGCCCCAACCAAAAGCTGGACCCAAACATCCCCAGACTATGGAGAAGTTCAGACCCAAGTCTAGATCAAAACTTCACAGCTTTGGGATATTTCAGCCAGGTTGCCTGAGGAGCAGGCTGTATAGAGTGGCTATTCATTACTTAGATCTGTGGAGCCCCAACCAGTGTATTCATGCAGAAGGGTTTCCATAGATTTGCAAAGAGATGCTGCAACATAGCCACCAATATCTAGCATATACACCTCTTTTCTTACCCACTTCTGTTTTCAGGGCCTTTCCACACCATTTGTTCCAGTAATAAAAATTTTTAAATCTGAGTGCAAGTAAGCTATGGGCTTAACAAACAAAGTCCAAGGTTTATGTATATGTTACTCCAGGATGTAGTTATTTTATTAATTTTTTCCCCTTCCAAATGGTTTACCATAAGGCTTATTATTTCATTCTTGAAACTGAAGCCTTTTTGGAAGTGTGCTGAGGTGTATCTGGCCTTTGCAGCTCCATACAGTTAGATCTGAAGTCCTATACATCCCAACCCGGGAAGCAGTGAAGTGACAGGAAAGGAACAGTAAAGGTGGGTCCTCCGGGACTGCATAGCGAAACCTCATGGAAGCAGCGAATCAGAGCCTGGTAGCCTTAACTAAAAGAAGCTGCAGGACCTTAGCAGGTCAGTTCCTGGCTGAGACCAGAGGAGTGAAAAAGGGTGCTCCTCTCTTGCCTGGAGGTAGAGAAGAACCTGAGGGAACTGGGCCTGAGATAAGGTTGAAGATAAAAGGGGCCCAGTAGGAAGAGGCCCAGGGAAATGGCAGTGACAGATTGGAGTAAGTAGTACGTGGCTTCTGTTCATTGGGTCCCTGAGTTGGAACCCAGAGTAGTGGGTGAGCCCAGGTTCCCCTAATAGCCACAGATAAAGTGGTGTAAACCCCAAGTAGAGGACTGGCCTTGTTTTGGACCCCAAACAAAGGGTTGAATCTATAACAGCCAGGGCTGAAGACCCTAGCGAGGGCAAATAGACTGTTTGTTATTGGATTCTTTAATACCCCAGAAAGGGCTTCTTTGGACTTTGTGACCTGGGTGGAGGGCCAAGCCCCTGAAGACCTGCCAAAGTCAACTGCAGCCTTCAGGAGGTGCCAGAGGTGAGAAAAGGACTGCATTACCACACCTAGCTACTAGGAGGTGATCAGGCAGTGAATGCCCTGGTTACAACTTTGTGCCAGAAGTGGGATTCAAATCCCTATCCCATCAAGGTAGGATGAAGAGACAGGGGTACGCATTTAACTGCATCAAGTATGAGATGTCTGATATCCCAGACATGAGGGAGATTCCCACACTTGCACCATTCTGTTTAGATGACAAATTCGAAGAACTGTCCCACATTGAGGTGTCAATAGAGGAGGTTTTGAAACAAATTCATAAATTAAAGTGTAATAAGTCATGAGAACCAGATGGAGTTCCCCCAAGAGTTCTGAAAGAACTCAAATATGAAATTGCAGAACTACGAAGTGTGGTATGTAACCTATCACTTAAAATCAGCTTCTGTACCAGATGACTGGAGGATAGCTAATTTGACACCAATTTTTTTAAAAGGTTCCAGAGGCGATCCTGGTAATTTCAGGCCAGTAAACCTAACTTCAGTACCAGGGAAATAAGTTGGTTGAAACTATATTAAAGAATAGAATTATCAGACACATAGATGAACATGATTTGTTGGGAAAGAGTCAGCATGGCTTTTGTGAAGGGAAATCACGGCTCACCAAGCTATTAGAATTCTTTGAGGGGTTCAACAACTATGTGTACAAGGGTGATCCAGTCGAGATAGCATGCTTGAACTTTCAGAAAACCTTTTATAAAGTCCTACACCAAAGGCTCTTAAGCAAAGTAAGCAGTCATGAGATAAGAGGGAAGGTCCCCTCATGGATCAGTAACTGGGTAAAGGTTAGGAAACATGGGTATGAATTAATGGTCAGTTTTCACAGAGGAGGGAGGTAAATAGTGGGATCCCCCAAGGATCTGTACTGTGACCTGTGCAGTTCAACATATTCATAAATGATCTGGAAAAGGATAAATAGAGGAGGTGACAAATTTTGCAGACAGTACAAGATTACTCGGGATAGTTAAGTCCAAAGCTGACTGTGAAGAATTACAAAGGGATCTCCCAAAACTGGGTAAGGGGCAACACATTGGCAGATGAAATTCAGTGTTGATAAATGCAAAGTAATGCACACTGGAAAACGGAATCCCAACTGTACACACAAAGGATGGGGTCTAAATTATGTCACCACTCAAGAAAAATCTTGGTGTGATCGTGAATAATTCTCCGAAAACATCTGCTCGATGTGCAGTGGCAGTCAAAAAGCTAACAATGTTATGAGCCATTGGGAAAAGGATAGATAATAAGACAGAAAATACCATAATGCCACTATAGTAATCCATTGTATGCCCGCATAGTGAATACTGCATACAGTTCGGGTTGCCCCATCGCAAACAAGATATATTGGAATTGGAAAAAGTACAGAGAAGGGCATGGAACAATCTCCATATGAGGAGAGATTAAAAAGACTGGGACTGCTCAGCTTAGAAAAGGGACAATGAAGGTGGGATATAGTGGAGGTCTATAAAATCATGAATTGTGTGGAGAAAGTAAATAGAGGAGTGTTATTTACGCCTTCACATAACACAAGAGCCATGGGTCACCCAATGAAATTAATAGGCAACAGGTTTAAAACAAAGATAAGTACTTCTTCACACAATGCAAGGTCAGCCCGTGGAACACATTGCCAGGGGATGTTGTGAATGCCAGAAGCATAACTGGTTTAAAAAAAGAATTAAATAAGTTCATGGAAGATAGATCCATCAATGGCTGTTAGCCAGCATGGTCAGGGATACAATCCCATGCTCTGAAGTGTCCCTAGCCTTGGTTTGCCAGAAGCTGGGAATGGGTGACAGGAGATGGATCACTTGATATTACCTGATCTGTTCATTACCTCTGAAGCATCTGTCATTGGCCACTGGTCGGAAGACAGGATGCTGGGCTAAATGGATCTTTGTCTGACCCAGTATGTCTTATATTCTTAACAGGGTCTTCCTCAGCAGAAAGCATAGGGTGTAGTGCTCAAGAAGCCAACAGTTAAGGGTTTGTAGACAGATGTTTAAAATACTCCAGTCGTTTAACAGGACACCTGAAAAAGGTTACAAGGGCCCAACACAGCCTTACCAGGAGGGACCAATCATGGTGGTGGCCAATACACAGGACCAGGGAACCCCTATTTTAGAAGGAAAACAGAGCTCTGAGATTGGGATAGTTTGAATTGAAGACAGTCAAAGCCATAGCACAACTTGGGATGATCCGTTTAGGACAACAATTATACAGTCTAGGCTGAGATGAGGTATGATGGTGTCTAAATCAGATCTTCCCTCGCTGCTTTAGAGGCGAAGGTAGTGCTGCTAAAACAGCTATGGGATTCAGAGTCCAAGAAATGCCAGGCTGATGGCCACTAGACAGCTAAGGGGAACAGGGAACTAGTTGACCGAAGCCATCAACCAGTCAAGACACTGTGGATGGACAATACAGTACCATGCAAAAGAATTTGAAGCAACTGCTGCAGCTGGAATAGAAGAGAGCAAACAAGCTTCAGAAGTGACTGAGAGATCCAGCCCAATGTCAGGATCCAGACACCAGTCCCTCCTCAGTCAAGCAGCTACTCATGGAGATGGGTCTAAAATGGGAGATGAATTAAAGAGGCTGCTAAAGGAGCAACTGCAAAGTCTGCAGGTAGTGAAGCAGACTAAGACCTCCCAGCTCCAAGAACAGCTAGACAAGCTCACGGAGGAGTTAAAGGAGAATCAAAAGAGTTGCAGGCAACAACAGATGGAGAAGAAAACTCTTTACATTGACAGTGGAGCCAAGATTGAGGTGATCTGGTAGAGCAAAGATTTGGTGCTGACAGCTGTGCAAACTTTGTAACATGAAGTTACATCAGGATTTACAGAGAGTTTTGCAGAATATCTCCAAGATGTAGGACCAGCTACCAACACAAGGTAGTTCTACAAGCCCTCTGGGACCAGATACAGATCTTGGAAGCACATCAGATGAGTCTGCAAGATCAGAATTTAGTGCTGCAAGCTGCAGCAACAACGGAGCAAGAAGGAGATGCTCATAGGACAATGGGATGACTTCAGCGCTCAGCTACGAGAATCCATCTGAGCCAGCAACCACTTTCTGAAACAAATTTGAGGAATTGAGAGGACAGAGGATGATGGTCCAGGAGAAGGCAGAGAGGTGTGATTAAAAACACAAGTATGGACTTGAACTGGAAAGCAGGGTGATAGTTGACCAGGAACCTTACATCCCCACAAGGAGCGGGGTAAGGATTTGAGCAGCCAGGAAAATGGTGTGAGGATATGGATTCACCGCCCAGTGAAGGACTTAGTATCAACAGCTGCCAGTACCAAGCCTCTGTCGACTGTAGAGGCTCCAATAATGGCAGTAGCCTTTACAGCTACCCAACCCCTACTGAAGTGGAGAAAAGTAGAAGATAGGGTCACTGCAGGTGATGGGGTCAAACAGGAAGTCATGGCTCAACTCAACATCCTACAGGTCTAAAAGGTCAAGGCCGTGTAGGAACTCAAAGAGATGCGCTCCTCAAGGGACCAGATCTTAGCCCAAGCAGTGCAGTGGGAACAGGACCCATCTCATAATTGAAAAAGAGACTGGGGAACAGCAGTGTTTGCTGCAGAAGTTGCTGACTTAGCTCTATAATTTGCTTTAGGTCCAGTCAGGGTTGAAGTCTAGCAGGTTAAAGATAAAGAGTGAGAAAGCCTGAAGGCTGAGGTAGCCCATCCTTTGAAAAGAGTTGGAATCGTGCAGGGTGCAA